AACACCAACACAATCAGGACACAAAAATGGCCTTTTCTTCTTTTCTCCTACCTCCTTTCTTATGCCTCTTTTGTTGCCAGAAAACAAAGGAATTTTTCTCTCTGTTTTCTTTTCCAAAACTTCAAGGTGAGCTCATATTGACATGGAAAAAAACAATGCCAAAATCTGACAGAACTGACCTTGCTATTAGCAGCTAAGCTGACTTCCGCATTCTGCCGCTTTTCTTTGTTCTGGCAGCTGATTGAATTGACTTCTGGCCCTTTCAGATCTATGTTTCTCTTGTCTTTGTTAGGTTAGATCATACCAGATGCTTTTCCTCCATGTCATTTGCTGCGTGAGCTATCTGATCTCATACTCTTCGCTATTAAAATTCATAGCATTTGTAAGTATTGTGTCATATAGCAGATACATTATCCTAAGTATTTCTACATGAGCATCTCCAATAAAAGTTTGTAGTTACTCCATATTTTATATGTGAACGTGTAGTTGTTTATGATTATCACATCCTTTAACCAGTTAAAGCTGCATAACCTTTCCTGATATCAGGAGAGTTGCCAGTGTTTATATGCTATTGTTGCTAGACAAGATCACCTCTTCATGATTCTATTTTGTGGCAGGTGGACAAGGGAATAAGCTCTGAAATAGTTCGTTCAGTACTCTCAGAACGTGCAAATTGGCCTTATTTGGCTGCACAATCAGCAGAAGAAGTGAGTTAATTGCTCTGTTTCCTCTTTCCAGATATCCCTTTCTTACCCCTAAATTTCCAGGTTGTCTCAAGAAACTGGCAATAATTATTCATTTTCATTGACTCATAATCATAATAGTAAATCTTATTGTTCTATCATGGTTCCCATTATGTTTCTAAACCTGTGATGTACACAGTTCAACATACAAGAAGCAGACTCATGAGCAGGCTGATTTTTGGAAAGCTTCTTTGAGATGCAGAAGGTTCCACGATGTTTCTTGGTTGGGTCAGCATTAAGGAAATTAATAATTACCTTAGATAATAATGAAGAAACAAACACGCATGATGCATGTCTTGTGTGGATTACTTCTAATATCATAGTGTTTTCATTTTTTTTAATGTATTTGGAAGGATGAAGAAATGATCAGTCGATTGCTCCAACCATAAGTTAATTCTGAGTCCACCAGAAGCCTTTCATGAGAAGCAATAGGCCAAGACTCTGTTAAAATCAAAACCTACTGAAAAAATGCAAAAAATTAGCTTTAAATAAGCCTAAGGTTCCTAGTTTGACTTAAGATAAAAAAATTAAAAATTGACCCAAATTAAAAGACAACGTGGAGTAAATAAATTTTCCAGGTCCCTTTAGTGCTTCCATCAACAGCACTGTTTCGAAAACAGAATTATTTCTAGCCAGAAGATGACTTTGCTAGAAAAGTGATGGTAGAATTTGTGGAATAGAATAGATTTTTAAAGACCTCTAAAGTCATTGGTTTGTTCGTCACGGAAATTTTTTGGGTGTCCTTTTCATGAGCTTGAAATGTTGAAAAGGCGCTTGTCTACTAGCTATAGTTACCTTGCAGGACCTTCACTTTCTTATTACTGCATAGGTTGCCATCAAGTGGTAGCTGAGTGAATATTTTTTGGACGTTACACTCTGTCTCATGCTTCATGGCTTATTTAATTCGATGGTAAAGATTTGAATGATGCCGGATATGTAACATCTGAGAAATCTGGGTTCCCTAGGAGTTTTTTGGTTCTAACTGCAGCAGTTGTAGATGCAGCTGCTTGAACTGCTGTGGGGCCAACTGCATCAGTGTGATATTCTTAAATTGTAAAATAGTTTTCTTTACATTTGCTGCAGTTAGAGTTTCACTGCAGGTTGTTACACACGCACGCACACCGCACACACGCGAACACACAAAGCTCTTACGTGCCGCAATAAAATTGACGTTTGCAGCTTCAACTTCATCCAATCAATACCGTTCTCTAATGTATGCCTTGTCAATTTTGTGCTATATTTATCATAGCTTCAACTTCATCCAATCAATACCGTTCTCTAATGTATGCCTTGTCAATTTTGTGCTATATTTATCATGATATTTAATTCTGTTAATCTAATTTGTTCTCTAATGTATGCCTTGTCAATTTTGTGCTATATTTATCATGATATTTAATTCTGTTAATCTAATTAGGATACCTCACTCAATATTAGTCTCTGCCTTGAGTTAACTTGTATGATAAACGATGTGTATCGGCTTACCATCTCTGATGTTGAATCTCAGATGGATGCCTTGTCCAAAGATGATCTTTTCCCTAAAGTAATTGAAGCATTTTCACGTCCAACAAGAATCATTCGTGGGAAAGAAATTAATTCTGAATGGGAGGTAAGACATTTGTATGTGATTAATAAGATTTATATTATTTGCTTGTTGAAATGTATCACGGTGCTAGTAGAACTGGGATTCAAATTCATAGTGCTTTGGGATAAAATAGAAATCCATCATGGTACAAGTTGAGACGTAAAGATGACGTAAAGATGGAAAAGCTTTTGCTTCTTTCATATGAATAAGCATTCTCAACTTAAACTAAGAAAAGGCTTTACTTCTCAACTTAAACGAACTTGATAAACAGGTAAGTGAGGCTGCATTTGATACAAAAGAAGAAAAAGCTTTATGGAGTGCCTACACAGAAGTAGCAAGAAAGATTCACCCTGGTACATAAATTTTGTTTTTTTGTCATTGTTTTCATATTTTTTTGTCTTACCATTACAATGGTTGTCACTGGGACCATGCAACTGCTGTTTTTTTAGGTGTTGACATTGGCATCTTTGTAAATACATCCCTGCATTTACTTCAACCGCTTGAAGATTTTTTCAACAACGTCTATGTTATGGTGGTAAGCTTCTCTATCTGTCATGTCTTTGTGTTGCTAAAGAATAATTAAGCATCACACCAACCTACTCGCAAATAGTACTATCCAGATTTTGGGTACTATAATGCATGTGCATGTCTGTATAAATACATAACATACATGTAGTTGTATACACATGTATATGTATATGTATATGTATATGTATGTGCGTGTGCGTGTGCGTTTGGGTGCATGTGGGTGTGGGCGTGTGTGGGCCGCACAGTGTATGTGTCCGCCTGTGTTTATATATATTGATGTTAATGTTTGTGAGCTCTGAATTTTTATTTTATATATCAGAATGAGTCGCTAAAGGCAATGGTTAGTTAGACCCAACCATTGGAGTGATTAGTAGGATAAGTCTCATCACTAGTCAATCTCTTGGTAGCTTATATTTAGCAAAATTAGTCATCAGTTGTTGCCTTAATTTTTCATTGCCTGAGCATTTTACACTACTATTTTGAAGGATATCTGTGACTGTTAATGTTGTTTAGTTTATAAGATAGGGGAGTCTATGCATTTGATATTGTCACATGTATGTCCCAAATGCACGATAGATTGTTCTCTCTTTTTTTAATCCCCAAGAAGAGCTTGACTATTTTTTTTCATTCCAAAAAAGAAAAAAAAAATCCTGTTCCGGATTGCCATAACAAATAGAAATGCAAGATGTGTGAAATTCACATCTTTTGGAGCTTATAAGCATGTGGTCGTGTTCCTCTTAGATTATCCTCGAGGTCATAACATATGCAGTAATAGCATCCAAATTCTGACGAGTTTGATTTTATTAAGTTGTTGAAGCATCCCTAAGATTGCAATTAGCGATCATACCTGACTTGGATATCAATGGTATAGGTTTGCGTTGCCCCATTTTTCAAGTTCTTTCTAAACCTTATAAAATTTTCCAGTGTCAATCATGTGCATAGTAATTTTATGCAGCAAGGCTATTAACGAAGCATGGGTGGCAACTTTATCTGAAGACCAAATTGTTTCTGTTAACATTTCTTTCTTGTCTTAGTTCGATTGCCCTCTAAACTCTAAAATAATTACTGATGATTGATATGTAGGAGGATCCGAGAATCAGAAATAACAGACTCGCGCTCCTGAAGAAAATTGCTGATCTACCAAAAGGCATTGCAGACCTCTCAGTACTGCCTGGATTTTGAGGCTAATGTCGCCCTCTCAGTTTTGCCGGCGTTTTATCTCTCTGAGTTATTGGTCTCTTACAGTTCATAACTTGACCGATGCACCGGTTTCATTTTGTGATTTTTGTTGTATAGTAGTGATGTAAGGTTTTGGGTATCGATTTGTGTTGTAACGCTTAACATCGTGATATAGTAGAGGTCTCCTTCCTCCGCCAGATCATGGTAATTCAATTTATGTAAATCAAATATTAATAAGTCCCCGTCAACGAAGTAATCTATATAGTCTTTGTTCGCCGTGTTCCTCTTAAAGCTACCCTGGTAGCACCTCAATGGAAGCCCAAAAAATGGCAGTAATCTGTCGTGTGTCTAGATAGGCTCAATGCTTTGGATAATTATTTGTTTGTTTTCAATATGCGAGTAACGTCTTGATTCTTGCAATAAAAGGGCTCAAACCCTCGTATTAGCTTTCTACATAAAAATGATTTCAGCGTTTTGACAATTTAGTAACTCAAAAGCCATCAAACGCACGTTATTTTGACAATTTGACACCTCGAAGCCTTAAATTTGTTTCCTCACTCTTCTCAAACCTAAGAAGTTAAAATTTGGTAAAGGATTGTTTCTAGTTCACTTTTCCATATCGATATCCTTGAGCGTATTAACGCTTAGGGCCCGTTTGGTTGCTGAAGAGGGCTTGAGAAAGCCTGACAAAACTGACAAAAATTGTTAGTTTTGACTGATTTTCTTGTAAAAACGCCATTTTTTGGGATGTTTTTGTAAGAAAGCCTGTTTTTTGTCAGTTTTGGCAGGCTTTCTGTCCATTTCAACTCCTCTTTTCAGCAACCAAACGGGCCCTTAACATCATATTTTTTGGGTATTGTATCGTCGAAGTAAAACTTCAAGTGCAGGATATCAAAGTTAAAAAAAAGGGTGAACTCCAGGGTGTTAAAAGTGCAAATATCCCACATTTTGTGACTGTGGCTGTGATATGTTGGGCTCACGGTATTAGAGCTAAAGCGGCGTCTAACAGGTGTCCTTAAGCCCAAACGTATCAGTAAAGAGCGAAACCGCGAACAGCCCGAAAAAAAAAAGAGAATTTTCACATATGTTCCTCGTTAAACGATTTAACCCTGAAAAACTCCTCCAAAATTTCTTCTCGCCCCTTCCCGGCGAAAAACTCTACCATTCAATCCACTCGTCAAACAAGCAAATCTCCCTCCACATCCGCAACAATGACTTCACCTCCGCCCTCAACCTCTTCAACTCCATGCCCATGAAAACCACAGTCACCTATAACTCTCTCCTCTCTTTCTACGCAAAAAGACCTGGCAGCCTCAATAATGCACTCCAACTGTTTGCTCAAATTCCCAGCCCAGATGTTGTCTCCTACAACACTCTACTTTCTTGTCATTTCATTGACCATGACGCCAATGGTGCCCGTAGGCTCTTTGACTCGATGCCGGTTAGAGATTGTGCTACGTGGAATGCGATGGTGTCGGGGTTGTTTAGGCTTGGGAAGGTGGAGGAGGGTAGGGAAATGTTCGGTAGGATGACGGAGAGGAATTTGTTTTCGTGGAATGTGGTTGTTTCTGGGCTTGTGTCAGTTGGGGAGATGGAGTTGGCGGAGGAGTATTTTAGGTTGGCACCTAATAAGGATGATGTTGTTTTGAGGACGGCTTTGATTTCGGGGTATATGAGCAAAGGTAAGAGTTGAGTATTTTAACAGTTTAATTGGCTTAGTTGTTTGGTTCCATCATTTGAAAGTGTAAAGTGATAGATTATCCATGATTTTGTGTGTGCTTCTGTGTGCATATATGCGCAATGGAACAGAGAAACTTAAGCTGACACGTAAGATATTATTATGTACGCGAAAGGAAAATAATTGTATGGATCAATTTTTGACGTTTTTCACAAATATATGTGGGATTCTGAGGTCAAATGGCCATATTGGTAGAATGTGCGGTAAATTCTGTAAGCTAACACAGTTACGGGATGCTATCTATGACATCTTAATTAAGTTTTTCTTTACCGGAATGGCCTTTTGAGATCAATTCAATGTAAGTTGTCTGGGAAAGAATAACATTCATGTGGTTATACTTATAATAGCATATTGATAACTACTTGGAAAATTATTTCTGCTATGTTCGTGCATTGTTAATATTGTCCTTCTACAATATATGCACAGTGAAGTATTGAAGGCAATACTTATTACATAATATATCAAATATTCCATCTTTTGGAACTTCAAGTAAATCTTTTTTATCCCAAATTATGAGCAGTTACTTGAATGTTGTTTGGCAACGTTGATTGTTTGACTATATGTTTTCAGGTAAGATCAAACAAGCACGAGAGATTTTTAGTAGCATGAGAGTTAGGAATCCAGTCAGTTGGAATGCTATGCTAGCTGGGTTCATCAACAATGGGCAATCAGAGGAAGGATTAAAATTGTTTAAACTGATGATGGGGTCAATTGAGGTGCGCCCGAACCCATCAACATTAAGCAGTGCATTATTGGCATGTAGCAATCTCTCAGGTTTAAATTTAGGCAAGCAAATTCATCAGTGGGCTTCTAAATTATCCTTGAGTCTCGATATAACAGTTCAAACCTCATTAGTGAGCATGTATTGCAAGTGTGGGCACTTGGATGATGCTTCGAAATTGTTTAATGGAATGGCGAGAAAAGATGCAGTCTCATGGAATGCAATAATTTCTGGTTATGCCCAACACGGACTTGGAAAAATTGCAATTGAATTATTCCACAAAATGAAGCAAGATGCAGTAAAACCTAATGGAATCACCTTCGTCGCACTCTTAACAGCATGTAACCATTCTGGGCTAACCAAGCTTGGGTCACATTATTTTGAATCAATGGAGAAAATTTATGGTTTGAGTCCCAAATTGGATCATTACTCTTGCATGATTGACCTTTTGTGTCGAGCTGGCTCTCTAGGAAAAGCAATGGACTTGATCCAATCAATGCCTTTTGACCCTCACCCGTCTATATTTGGAACTCTCTTGGGTGCATGTCGGGTCCACAAGAAGTTAGAGTTTGCTGAGTTTGCTGCAGGGAAATTGATTGAACTTGACCCACAAAATGCAGGATCCTATGTCCAGCTCGCAAATGTCTATGCATCAATGAGTATGTGGAACGAAGTTGCTAGAGTGAGAAAGTTGATGAAAGAGAATGAGGCAGTTAAGACTCCTGGCTATAGTTGGATAGAAGTTAAGGACGTTGTACATGAGTTCAGGTCAGGAGACCGAGTTCACTCAGACTTGAAGTTGATCCATGAGAAATTGGATGAGTTGGAGGTTAGGATTAAAGGGGCAGGATATGTTCCTGATTTAAGTTATGTATTGCAAGATGTTGGAGTGGAGCAAAAGGAGAGGATGCTGATGAGGCATAGTGAGAAGCTCGCCATAGCTTTCGGGCTGATGAAAACTTGTCCTATGACTACGATTCGGGTGTTTAAGAATCTTAGAGTCTGTGGGGATTGTCACAATGCTGCCAAGTTCATTTCTTTGGTTGAAGGGAGAGAAATTTTGTTGAGGGATAATACTAGGTTCCATCGGTTTAGTAACGGTGGCTGCTCCTGTGGTGATTACTGGTGAGAAAATGCAAGCCTTTTCCATGGAGGATCTTTTCACCAACAAATTAAACCCAGAAAGTTCATAGAGCAACAGAAACTACTCGCAAAAGGACGCATGTGCGCCTTCAGAGGTAATTTTATGATTTGTGTAATTCTTGCAACATGACATCTTTTTGTCTTTAATGTTTTTTTTTTTTAGAAAAAGGATGGAACACCCCAAAGGTATTCCAGCCAGCTAAATTAAAAGGATGGTTGTTACAAAAAATAGTTCATACTTCCAACCAAAAGTATGTACTAGAGTTCAAGAGAAATTACTACAAATAGTAGTACTCTATCCCCTATATACATCTGGAGATAACCACCTACATCTAACTGATTTAACAAGTTTGTCATCAGTAACCAAAATACAAAACAGTAAAGGCTAACAGTGTTTTCTTTCAAACAAAAGATACAACATATCCAGCGGCTATTAATCCAGCAGAAACTTATCCTAACCGAATTACTGTAGCCGCACCATCCTTGCATCCAAATTCAACAGCATCAGTAGTTATAAAACCCGCAGCTCTTTTTCTTCTTCTTTCTTGTAATCTAGCAGTTCGAGTAGAAATCCCCTCAGATCCTATAGCCAAAAAGTTGAGAAAGTCACAATTTTGTTCAAGAGGACTAGAGAACTCTTCTGCTTATTAGCAAATAAGTTGTCATTGCGTTCTTGCCAGACATACCATTTTTTAATGTTAATGTTGTTTCTCACTGTTTAGAGCTTCTCCAACGTGGGGCTCTATTTTGCAGCCCAAACTTTGTCATATTCTTTAGAATATGCCAAAATAGAATTATGTAACTCCAACCACACTTCTCTATTTTCAACTCCATTTTAATTTCTCTCAATTTAACAATTCTTTTACTTATTTTAAAAATATATAAAATTTGTAATATATAATGTAATCATATATTTAAATAAAATTAATTAACTTTAATGAATTGATAATAAGAAATTTAATAAGATCCTTTAAATTATAATACATTTTTATTTTTAATTACTTGGTTCTTGGAATTTTATATTTCAATACCTATTATTTAATATTAGTCTCATTTTGAATATATAAAAATAATAAAAGTTATATAATATAAATAATATTATAAATAATATTATTAAACGTATTAATATAAAATAGGTATCTGGACTAAAATAAACAGCCATTGATATACTAAATCCACGAACATTACATAGAAAATAAAAGCATGAATTGAAAATTACATGACAAATAAGAAAAACATAATACATGAAAAATACTAAAAGTCTGGAAAGTCTCCTCCTCCTCTGTAGTCAGGTATTCCGTATTGACTTCTTGCGTAGCTGTGCTCAGGATTAGGGGTATCAGATGAGGAACCCCTGGTTATATTTCCATTTAAAATGTGTTGTTGTTTAATTCGAAAATATTCGCATTTTGTTGGATTGGTAATAACATCCAGATCAACCAGCTTAATTTCTTTCTCTTGTTGTTCTTGCTGAAGATCTAACTTTTTCTTGTCATTTTCAGCCTTTAACATCATAGCCTGGTTCATCCTCATTCTTTTATTTTCTCGTTGATCTTGACCTCTTTTTAAAACTTCTAAGATTTCTTGGTTTCCTTTAGCAAAAGCTTCAAAGTTAAGATTCCTTTCGATTTCTTGTCGTCTTCTCAACTTCTCTTTCTTCCTTCCAATAGGTCGACTAGTTAAAATGTCGGTCGGCGAATGGTCGTCGTCATTAGGAGTATATCCCTCATTGTCTTCATTTAAATCAATCACAGGAGAGCTTGAATCAGATCCTTGAGATAAGCGAGACTTTGAAGTTTTGGAAGTTGCAGGAGACATGGCGCTTATATTTGCCCATATCTCTGCATCCTTTAAAATCGGCCAAACATGATCAAATAGAAATCCTCTTTCCTCTTCTGGATCTTCTGCAAATATCATCCTAGCACGTTTATTCTACCACGAAAGAAGAAATAAGAATTAATAAAATGAGAAAAATAATTTGGAAAGTCTACAAACATGTAATTCATATACTTACAATATCAAGTTCAGAAGCACCGCTTGGATTGAGGCGTTCGACTTATCGAATGCATCCTCGAAATATACTGATGGCTTTCATAATTAATTGCATTCGGCATGAGAGAGACTTCGAACTCCTATGTCCAGTGCTAACGTTGGACATCCTATCGTGAAATAGAGCTGAAATTCGCTCCCATAGCTTGTCTTTCTTTTGATTGGAACCTAGAACTGGATCCTGAGATATTTCAAGCCATGTAGCGCATAAAATTTGATCTTCTTGGAAGAATGATTTTCCGTGACTGGATGCCATAAGAGAAGGATGAAGAGTTGTTGAGAAGAGTTATGGAGGAGGAATGAGAAGAGTTGTGATGGAGGAATGAGGGTTGTGCTTATGGTGAAAAAATTATAAAGAATCCAAGGTGGGTAGAAAACCAATGCCAGTGGGAGAATCCAATATGGGTAGAAAACGATGCGTGAAAGAATCCAAGATGGGTAGAAAACGATGCGGGAAAGAATCCAAGGTGGGTAGAAAACCAATGCCAGTGGGAGAATCCAATGTGGGTACAAAATGATGCGAGAAAGAATCCAAGGTGGGTAGAAAACCAATGCCAATTGGAGAATCCAATGTGGGTACAAAACGATGCGGAAAAGAATCCAAGGTGGGTAGAAAACCAATGCCAGTGGGAGAATCCAATGTGGGTAGAAAACGATACGGAAAAGAATCCAAGATGGGTAGAAAACCAATGCCAGTGGGAGAATCCAATGTGGGTACAAAACGATGCGGGAAAGAATCTAAGGTGGGTAAAAAACCAATGCCAGTGGGAGAATCCAATGTGGGTACAAAACGATGCGAGAAAGAATCCAAGATGGGTTGAAAACCAATGCCAGTGGGAGAATCCAATGTGGGTAGAAAACGATACGGGAAAGAATTCAAGGTGGGTAGAAAACCAATGCCAGTGGGAGAATCCAATGTGGGTACAAAACGATACGGGAAAGAATCTAAGGTGGGTAAAAAACCAATGCCAGTGGGAGAATCCAATGTGGGTACAAAACGATGCGAGAAAGAATCCAAGATGGGTTGAAAACCAATGCCAGTGGGAGAATCCAATGTGAGCAGAAACATTATATAATGACACAACATATAACTATTAACAACTCATCACCAATCTTCTTTCATTTCTCCAAATCCCCTCTTTAACAATGAACTATGGAGCTGGACCATCACATCTATCTTCTTCTGATGATGATGATGACAAAACCTTTTCTCATTACGTTGAACAATGGGAGGAGAATATGAAATAATGGGAGGAGGAGGATGAAATCTTAGCTCGTCTATATGCCTCTAACAACGAAATAATGGCTTATTTCTCTAAAGAGGAAGAGAGGCCAAAGCGCATCGGCTCAGTTCCTGGTCATTTGGTAATCAACCGTGGGAGGGAAGAAGGTAATTCTCGACTCTACAATGACTATTTTTCTGATAATCCTACATACGGTGCAAATTTATTCCGTAGAAGATTCCGAATGCAAATGAGTCTTTTCCTTCGTATCGTCGACGCTGTACGAGAGCACGACAGCTATTTCGCACAAAAGGTGGATGGTGTCGGCCGAATTGGACTGTCTACTTTACAAAAAGTAATAGCAGCTTTTCGCATGTTGGCGTATGGTGCATCGGCAGATAGTACTGACGAATATGTAAGAATTGGTGAGTCAACTGCAATTGAATGTTTGAAGAGATTTTGCAGAGCAATTGTAGAAGTGTGTGGAGATGAATATCTTAGATCCCCAATACCGACGATGTTGCAAGATTGTTACAAAAAGGCGAAGAGCGAGGTTTCCCAGGAATGTTGGGAAGTCTAGACTATATGCATTGGGAATGGAAAAACTGTCCAACAGCATAGGCGGGATAATACCCAAGACGTTACGGAGGCCCAACCATTATTCTCGAGGCAGTAGCATCGTATGATCTATGAATATGACATGCATTCTTTGGCTTGCCAGGTTCTAATAACGATATTAATGTATTACAAGCATCTAATTTATTTGACAACCTAACACAAGGTATTACTCCTCCTGCTCATTATACAATTCAAGGAAAGAATTATGATGTCGGTTATTATTTGGCCGATGACATATATCCGAAATGACCAACGCCTGTTCAAACCATTTCCAAATCCGAGGATAAAAATAAACAATATTTTGCAATGATGCAAGAAGCTTGTCGAAAAGATGTGGAGCGAGCGTTTGGTGTTCTCCAGTCAAGATTTGCTATAATCAAGGGCCCTGCACGTTTTTGGGATAAACGAACTTTGCATGATATCATGACCACTTGCATAATAATGCATAACATGATTATTGAGGATGAACGTGACGAGCAAGAAGATATTGTCGTTTCTACTCCACCATCAATTTCAGAAGTTGAAGACATAGGGATGAACGATGCCGAACGGTTCCAACAATTCCTGACCCGACATAAGAAATTCAAAGACAAAGAAGCACACTTCGCACTTCGAAATGCATTAATTGAACATTTGTGAGAGAGACACGGCAATGAAGTGATATAACTTTTTTTTATTAAAGTTTCGATGTAATTCTAAGTTAATGTGTTTTATTTCAGTTTAATTTTCAATGTATTATCATTTCTAATTACTTGTTTTGCAATTTTATATTTCTTTACAAAAAAAACCCCACTTTTACAAAAGTGGCATGAGAATCTGCCAACTCGATATCCTCTCTACCCTAAAACGCCGTGAACTTGATATCCTCTCAGATCTCTTTCCTTGCGTGCCGCTTCATCTTCCTCGGCTTTGGATCGTCTCTCCACTTGTCCACATCTCTCTCTCTCGTTCATCTCTCTGTCTCAAACGTGGTCACGGCAAAAAGAGGTGAGTTTGTGATCCTTCCTTTTTTTTTGAGATTCTTTTTGAGGAAATAGTTAGTGATCATCATTAGGGCTGATCATCATAAGGTATTCTTCAAGAAACCAAGCTAATGTGCAGTTGCTTGGAATTTTGTTAACTACAATTTTATTGTGAAGAGATGATCAACTCTTGGATGCTTACGCCATTTAGATCTGTAAGGGATACATTTCCTGTTCTTTTTGTTTGTTGTTGTTAAAAAAACTCTATCATCTCTTCCAATTTTCTCTGATCAATGTATGCCTTTTTGTTCATAATTTTGAGGTATAAAAACCAATTTAGTTTATGATTATCAGTCCCTTAAGTTTATTTATTCAAAAAGCTTTTTGTCCAACTCTCTTCATAAGCTTACTTGTTGCTTTTTGTCCAACTCTCTTCATAAGCATTAATATTATGGACTGATAATCATAAACATATTATCGCATATAGACTGATCATCATAAGCTTACTTGTTGCTCGACATTGTCATATTGTCGCATTCAAAAAGCTTTTTGTTCATAATTTTTGAGGTATAAAAACTAATTGTGTGTTTGACAAGGAATGATCATAAGGACTGATCATCATAAATTAATTTTAGATTTTTTAATTTAGCTGGGTGGAGCATCTTGGATGCTCCATCCTTTTTCCTAAAAAGGTTTCAGGCAAAGTTTATTTATTCAAAAAGTTTTTTCCAACTCTCTTTGCATTAATATTTGTTGATGATATTGTTTGTCACATATATAGATGATTGATTTCGTTACCCCTTTCAGATCACAATGGAAGCCTCTTCTTCTCAAGAAGTCGTCTTGTTGGAGGCTGCTTCCTCGAGCGAGCGACAATTGCCGATAACAGTGCCTTTAATTGAGAAGGTAATAAATTTTACATTTGCTTAATTTTACTGTGGGATAGAACCTTTGGTTAATGTTTAATTGGAGGAAAGATTGGATTTTGAATGAATTTATGTCTGAATAATATATGTTGGCAAATATTAGTTAGATTTTATGTCAGAATAATATATGTCGGCAAATATTAGCGAATTGTGAATATTTCGTGTAAGTAAACTTCTACGATAGATTTACATTTATTTTTAAATTCATGGCTAATAAATTCATATGATGTTATAATACTACAGAATTGTCGAATGGAGGATGGCCAAATTATCGATGATGGTATCCCATTTGAAGGGAAGGAGTTTCAGACGGACAACGATGCATACAACTACTACAATGCATATGCAAAGAAGATTGGGTTTGGAATTCGCAAAGATACTTTTGAAAAATCAAAGAAAGCTTCAAGAGAGATTCTTTCGAGGACTTTTGTTTGCGATAAAGCGGAGAGAAAGAGAGCATCGACTGAAAATGCAAGTGGATTGATTATTAATCGTCGTCCGGAAACTAAAGTTGGTTGTGGTGCAAAAATGAAGATTAGGCTTACTTCTTCAAAAGCTTGGAAGGTTACTAAGTTCATTTCTGAGCATGTTCATCCTTTAACAAGCCCTGATAAAGTAATGCATCATCATTCTCACAAGCAGCGACATCTCTGAGCATGTTCATCCTTTAACAAGCCCTGATAAAGTAATGCATCATCATTCTCACAAGCAGCGACATCGATCGAAACATTGCACTAGCCTCATTGAGTTGTTGCATGAAGAGGGAATGAAACCATCTAATATTAAAAAGGTTCTTAATGTTGGGTATCAGGGACAAGATGCTGAACAAGTCACCACACAACAGATGATTGATCATATCAGAAAGACAAGGCAAAATAACATTGGCTATGAATGCTTAAACATCATTAGACATTTCCAAGATAGAAAGGAATCAGATCCAGATTTCTATTTTGCTATGGAGGTCGATCACTGTGGAACACTAAGAAGTGTGTTTTGGGCCGATGGTAGAGCTAGAGCATCTTATTTAAGTCTTGGAGATGTGGTTGTGTTTGATACCACATACAAGACTAATCAGTTGAGTATGCCATTTGCTCCATTTACAGGAGTAAACCACCACCGCCAATCCACCCTCTTCGGTTGTGCATTGCTTGCAGACGAGCGAGAGGAAACCTTCGAGTGGTTGTTTTCACAATGGCTCAAGTGTATGCATGGGGTTGCACCAAAGGCTATCATAACTGATCAGGATGCACAAATGAAAAATGCTATTAAGAGCATTTTGCCAAATACTCGTCATCGCTTTTGTTCTTGGCATGTTAGAAAGCATATTGCCGAGCAACAAGTAAAGTTGAAGAGCCAATACGGGGATGAGATGCCTACATATTTTAACAATTGGTATTCTGCTAGAAGTATAAGCAAATGCGAAGAGCATTGGGAAGTCATGAAGGTTAAATTCAACATAAATGAAGGTGAAAATAGTTGGCTGACAAGAATGTATAGATTGCGTGAACATTGGGTAGATGCATACTTGAAGGACTGTTTTTGGGCGGGAATGGCAACAAGCCAAAGGAGTGAGAGTATCAATGCCTTTTTTGATGGCTTTGTCAATGCAAACACTAGACTAGTTGAGTTCGTGGGTCAATATGACAAGGCAGTAGCATCTCGTCGTGCATCAGAATCTCATGAGGACTTCATGACTTTGAACACCGTGCCTGCGATGAGCTTCTCAAATCCGATTGAAGAGCAAGTTGGAAATATATACACTAGGACGATCTTGAAGATGTTCCAAAGGGAGCTTGGTGATGTGATGTCATTACATCGTGAAGAAGTGTCAAAGGAGGAGTTGAAAGTAGTATACTTGGTTGGCAAATATTTTGAAAACAAAGAGTCTTGGGAAGAAGTAACCTATGAAATAAATAGTGAGCTTAACGTTGCATGCACTTGTTCATTTTGGGAAACTGAAGGGGTGCTTTGTAAGCATATACTGAATATATTATGGCTAAACCAAGTGACTTCTATTCCCGATAGGTATATCTTGCCTAGATGGAAAATTGATGCAAGGTATAGATATCTTGGCTTTGTTAATGCTATGAAGTTGCAACAAAATGAAGATAGCATGGAGCAGGGAAGTATTATACGATTATGGGCTTTAAGAGGAAATTTTAATGAAGCACTTGATATGGCAGCGGGCTCGAAGGATCTTCTTTCTAAGTTGGAGCAACAAATATCAAACTTCCTTGCAGAAGCAAGGGAGGAAGCAAGGCGCAATATGGCACAAACTCTAGATTCTCAAGTTGAGAGCCACGTAGATTCAAATACTCATGTGCTTATATTGAAAGATGGTGAGGAAATTATGGTTCGAGATCCCCTCGGCCCTGTGAAACCAAAGGGACGTCCAAAAAATTCAACTAGGACTAAAAGTGGCTTTGAAGAATCGGAAAGGCAAAAAGAGGTGAGACAACGAAAATGTGGTCATTGTCATGAATTGGGCCACTATAGGACGGGTTGTCAATTGTTGGTAAGTTTAATTTAGTTCATTTTTTTTACATATTTTTTCATATATTGTTTATTGTTTTACTTTTCTTGAAATATCACTAATTGATTTCTTTTTGTCTTTCATTTTTAGAAAAAGCAAAAGAGATAGTTTGCGAGATAGTTTGCAAAAGTATAATGGAGCTCAAGAACAATGTGGTGTTAAATGATGTGGTTGTTTATTGATCAATTTGGTTATTTATTGTCTAGTTTGGTTGTATGGACTTATTATTATAAGGGCTTATTGACTAATTGTGGTTGTATAGATGTATTTGTATGTTGTGGTTGTATGGACTAATTAGCTAGATTATGTACTATTTCGATTATTAAGAAAATTGGTGCGAGTATGTATGTAATATGGCAACTATTGAGTCATCAATTGATCGAGCTTTTGTAGTTTTGCTCTAATTCTTGTTGATTACGGGTGTTATTTTGGATCCTTTATGAGAAAGGAGTCATTTCTAATTTTGTTGTCTATGAATTGATTGAAATAATATTACTCCCCAACAACAAAATAAGTTGTCGCCCAACAACAAAATAAGGTGGAATCAAAATAAATGCATTGTACCAATCATAAAGGAGTCAGCAATTTATCTTAACTTTCTTTAGTCAAATTCATCATTCTATGCATTTTTCCCATATATTAGAAATTACTTGCCTTTCAGTACCGCTTCATAACATTCCTCTTCCACATCAGTACCCACATTAAAAACCGCCTTAGTATTTGCCTTCTTTGTCCATCTATTGATGACATAATAATTTGTAATATCATGCAAACTTTCCTCGTAAAATAAAAAATATATGACAACATTCCGTTTCAAACATTTTGCAAGAGGAATGTGCAATGTCACATGATGCGTCAGAAATAACTTGCCTTGGCCGACGACATCCATCTGAGATAGTTGATATTGATTTGTCTCCTTTTGTGTTTTTATTATCAACTGCACAATCTAACAAGCTGTGCACAATTCATAATGGAGTAAGTAAAAAATTTTATGTGTAGTCCATACTTCTCAATTGATTTGTTTGTTTTCTATATAGGCATTGAGTTCAAAAAATTGTTATCAGCTTCTGATTCCTTGTGCCTCTGAGAAGCTAGTGCACTATCAAATCACATCCAAAATTCAATTAAACTCAAATGCTTGTTAACAAATGAGCCATAAAATGAGTTTTCACTCTCTGACCTAGAGGTAGTCTTCAAAATACCACCCGAGAACAAATCTTTAAAGTAAGCCAGTATTCATATATTTCAGATATCATACATGTTTGCTAACCAACTATTAGGATCAATAAGCAATTGTGAAGTAGCATCTTCAGAGGTGCTCTTTTTATTTGCATCTTTTCGCAAACCTTCCTTTAAACATACATAATATTTGCAACTCAATTGACCGGTTTTTCTATCTTCGTTTACATATGAGCTCCGGACACTAAAGCCAACATGTTGAGCATATATAATTTTTACAAAAAATCTTAGCTTCTTTCAAGTTATTAAATCTCTTCCCCATAGCTGGCTTCAAGTGTTCTGCACAAGGAGATACCCATTCTTTAGGTTCTGTAAAAGGTCTATACTTCTTCAGCGTCCCAGGAATTTCATTTTTGTTAAGCTCCATTAAGTGATCTGAAAGGGGAAACGAAATCAATCATCAATATATGTGACAAACAATATCATCAACAAATATTAATGCGAAGAGTGTTGGACAAAAAGCTTTTTGAATAAATAAACTTAAGGGACTGATAATCATAAACTAAATTGGTTTTTATACCTCAAAATTATGAACAAAAAGGCATACATTGATCAGAGAAAATTGGAAGAGATGATAGAGTTTTTTTAACAACAACAAACAAAAAGAACAGGAAATGTATCCCTTACAGATCTAAATGGCGTAAGCATCCAAGAGTTGATCATCTCTTCACAATAAAATTGTAGTTAACAAAATTCCAAGCAACTGCACATTAGCTTGGTTTCTTGAAGAATACCTTATGATGATCAGCCCTAATGATGATCACTAACTATTTCCTCAAAAAGAATCTCAAAAAAAAAGGAAGGATCACAAACTCACCTCTTTTTGCCGTGACCACGTTTGAGACAGAGAGATGAACGAGAGAGAGAGATGTGGACAAGTGGAGAGACGATCCAAAGCCGAGGAAGATGAAGCGGCACGCATATATATATATATTAAGTAAGTATAAAAAATAATAACGGGACATAATTGGAATAATGAAATGTTGTTAAGGAGATTGAGGGTTTACTTTGCCATTTTTTGGGGGGAATAGTAGTATAGAGTTGGCTGCAAATTTGGAGAGAAATCTCCAAATTTGCAGACTCAGGTCCCGATTTTGCAGCTCCCTGTAAAATTTGCAGATCGGTTGGAGATTGGAGCAGCTCCAAAATAGAGATATAGGTAACGGTTGGAGAAGCTCTTATAATATACATTCATAGATTCTTGCCATTGTGTTATGAAGTGTTGTGTCTTGTCTATATGATTACATTCTTGCCAATGATTAATGCGTACAGATTGTCAGAGATATTGAATTACTTCAGTATTAGCGAATATTCCGGAAGTCGCAGCTGTTCCTACTTCTCATGACCACCACCATGTTCCACAGTATTTTTTGATATCAATACAAAAAGTATATGCTTTTATGAGCCCATGTTCTTTTACCTTTCTCAACGAACATGCAGATGGCCAGATGGGATTTTTTGAGATTTTGGGACTATTTTTTGTGTTACCTAAAGGCTAAGCATTTCCAAAGTACGACCAAAGTTTGCTTTCTTCTCTCCGAAATTTTGACTCATGATGTGCTGGCTTTCACATGTGTTTCATCCCATTACTTTGACTTTTGACGGAGGGTAAATCACACTAACCCCCCAAAACTTTCTGTGGCTTGCAGTAAACCACCCATAACTTCCAAGGCCGCAATAAACTCCCAGTAAGACAATAGCTATTTGAATTGCAGAAAACCCCAACAAGTTTTCATGTTTTTCATATAATCTCCAATAAGTTTTCGCATCATTTGACATTTTGCTTTGGCGACACTTTTTAGATCCCAAACGTGTATTGACGCCGTCATGGGGGTTACGTGCGAAACTTGGAAATTTATTGGCGGTTTTTCATAGTTCCAATATTTATTAGGAGATCAGTGCGATTTTAGGAGCGATTTACTGCAAAGCGCTAAAAGTGCTTGGGGGTTTAGTGTAATTTACCCTGAAAAGAATTTTAAGTAATGATTTCTATAAATTTTTATTTATTTTAACATCATGTCATGTCATGTACTCCTTATAACCAAAGTCTTCGGTGTCAGGGATCAAATACATAAAATCATAAAAACCGTTCCCCCTCATAACGGGTGACCCAGAGGTTGTTACCTAAGGTTTCCAATATGGCTCCTAAGATCTTGGTTTGGATTCCAGTTTATTACTAAAAAGAAGGGAAAAAAAAAAAACGTTCCCCTCAAAAATTCTGGAGAGACCGTAAAATACAAATTTACAATTTGAAAAGGTCCCACATGTAAATATGCACACGCTTTCTTCCCCTCATCTGACATTTGCTCCTCTCCTCGAGGCGATCCCCAATACCTCTATTTATTCCATTCCCTCACCCCCGTTTTGGAATCTCTCTCCCCCTCTAAATTCCCTTTTCCTTTCGTTCTTTTAGAACCCTAGAAAGAAAAACTCTTCTCTTTACGTCAAATTTTCGTCGAAATCCCACCGGAATCACGCCGGAGTTTTCCAAGACCTCTCGCCATGAATCCAGAATAGTAAGTCCCGACGATCCCCGAGTTTTCAAGTGTTTTCGTGCAATTTAGGTCAATTTTGATGGTTCTGATGTGTGATTTTGTCGCTAATTGGGGTTTGTTAAGTTTTTTGATGAGATCCGGTGTTTGTGGCTGATTTCTTTTGGGAATTTGGGATTAGGTAGGGTTCATATGATATTAGAACGAGGATCTGGATATATTATTCGAGATGTTTGCTTCGGGGTTTGTAGATTTGTTTGAATTGAGCTTGTTATTTATGTGCTGAATTAATATGTACATTATAATAGTAATTGGTTGTTTTTGATAATTAACTGGGAAAATCTAAATCAAAATCGGGATATCTGAAGCGTGGGCTCAAATTGTTCGAGGAAAGCATTAAGTTTTGTTTGTTTGATGATCAATAGTCTATTGTTAAACCTGTTTACAAACATAATTGAAGGGGCCTCAAGTTGTAAAATTGACGGGTTATTAGAATGTGTACAAGTGAACATAGGAATTCCTACTAGCAGTTATGGGCTGAGTATGGTTAATGATTTTATGACAAAGGAAATACTAGGAATTTGACAAAAGTTATTTTGACTCTGATCAAATATGGATTTTTGGATGTTATTTAATATGATTCGTCATTGGAAGTGGAACTGAGATCAATCTTGTTTTCAAAAGTGGTGTTAGTTTTACTGCCACCTAAGTTGCAATATGACTATTGCTTTTATGCATCCATACACTCAATTGAAGTATCTGCAGTTCACATTGTTTGCACTCTGTTGTTTCATTGTAAATGTTACAGATTAGAGCACCATTCACCACTAATTTGGTATTGCTGTACCATGCAACCACCCTGAATTTCAAACTAGGTGACACAGTATGATGTCGTGCAATTGCATCCTTTCTATTATAGCAATTGCAGTTGAAATGGGAATTGCAACTGCAAAAGCTGGACTTGCCAGAAGTGCAGTAATATGTACTTGAGTTGTAACAGAAAAATGCTATCGAATAACAAAAGATATAGAATTCCATTAGCTATTGAATCATTGATCAGGTGCTCCAAACTAATACTACACACTACTAGATACACCCTTAAGAATAATTTACTCTGTTACAAGTATGCAACCCACATTGGCTCTGCTTATTTATGTCCAGTTATATTCTTATCCATTAAGGTTGCATATGTCATTGAACTCTCATATTTATGATATTTAATAGTATTTAGTGCAGAATACCTTTGATCGTCCTAAAAAAGAACTAAATTTTTTAAGGCAGATATGCAGCATATATGCCAAGTATGAATAGGTAGTGGGTAGTGGGTTAAACTTGAGTCATATGTCTTCTTAACTAGTGGAATGTTTTCCTAAACGTATGAGGTTTCTTTTTTTGCAGTGATTACTTGTTCAAACTTTTGCTTATTGGGGACTCTGGTGTTGGTAAATCTTGTCTCCTTCTAAGATTCGCGGTAAGAAGTCAAGTTTATTTGTCAAATTAATGCTTTGAAGGGTGGGTGGGTGTGGATGCATGTGTGCATGCATGTGTGATGGAAAGTGAATTAAACTAGCTGATAATATTCATAAAACGTGTTATAATTTTTTTATGGTTTGGGAAACTTGTTCTATATTGAATATGATTAGTTTAATTATGCTTGAAAACATATACAAAATTGCTAATGATTAAATGTCTTTTACTTTAGGATGATTCATATTTGGAAAGTTACATCAGCACAATTGGAGTTGATTTCGTGAGTATCTACCTTTACTTTAAAGTTGTTTTGCTCTTCATTTAAACATTACTTACATTATTGACATCACACTGCTTCTGGTAGAAAATACGCACTGTGGAGCAGGATGGGAAGACTATTAAACTACAAATTGTAAGTATTCTCATTTGTATGAATGTTTTGTCTAGTATGTTTCTGTGAGCATTATATTCTTTATGTGAAGATTTCCACTGTACTCATCATTGTTACCCAGTGTATCTTCTTTGATAATTATGAAGAACCGTTATCAGCATTGTCCTAAATTTCCTGATTGCAAAGGTGATCATAAAAAATAACTAACTTTTTAAAATACAGGATATGCGGATGCATGATGGTCTGCTTTCCAATTAGAACAATAAATTTGGCATGTGCCTTTTACATATGTGCCCCACATTTTATATGCTACTGAGCAGAAGTTTGCTCAACCATGTACGTATTGGCTCGGTCGGTTCATATAAATGATGACCGCTTCCTTTTGTGAGGCAGCCGTTTCTATTTTGGATAAAAATACCATTAACACTAGCACAAAGTTGCATGCTAAACATAGCATAAATTACATAAAACTATTCATAAAAAAATAAATAAGATAAAACTACTATAAATATAATTGGTGCCTGTGTATGGTAAGACATGCCAAAGAAAGTTATGAGCAATAACGAATATTTTCAAAACACCTCAAAGTAACATTTTTGTAATATTTTTAATAACTAGAGCTTGGTATATAAATTCTCTTGTTGTGATAAAAATAGGCATGTCCAAACGGGTCGGGTCTGCAAACTGGGCCCGGGATCATTTTCTTTTTTTTTTATTTTTTTGTTAAAAAATTTCAAGAGTAAATAACAATAAATTAAGCAAAATTTTGATAAAAAATCAATCATATTATTAATCATTTGTAATTATATAATTTACAAACACAAAAAATCATAGAAATTAAAATGATAAAATAAATTCTTTATTAATAATCAGTTAATCACTAACAATTACAAATTTATTTTGGAATTTATCACATCACAATAGATGAATACATCCCAACTAGGTTGACACCTAATCATCTATATTACTATCATTTACAACTCTTTTTAAAATAATTTATCACAAATTTTCAGCTAAGAAATAAAAATTACAAACTAATGAATAATTTCTACTCTTTAGTTCTATCTACTATTCCCAACTCTTCAAGTTTATCTTTAATACTAGTCATCCGATCGATGCCTTGAGTTCTCTTTTCGTACCTCCATCAATCTTATAGGCACATTACCGCCTGTACGGTAGACGAGTCTAATGATGTCCTATGGTCGTTGATCAAACGTCATGCTATGCTGAAGGCGGATTCCGAAGTTACCATGAAAATCTGCATTGTTATTTAGTCACGAGCCATGATGAAAAGTATAGGATATTAAAAGTTTTCATATACTCTCAACCATTGCAAAATATCGAAACTATTATTTAACTTTTAACTAAAGATGCAGTTAAATATTGTTCAATTTTAGAAACTTTTATTGATGATCCAAATCCACCAGTTAGCTGAGCTATCAATAATTTCCTATCAAAACTCTTACATTTGCCCTGATTTGAACTCGTAGAAGCAGAAGCTGTATACGGATGTGTACTTACACCATATCTAGCTGCATACTCATCATATAATCTTTAAAAATAAGTTCTAATAGTATTATGATGAGTAAGAGCAGTAATAACAAGATTTTAAATATCAAATGTCGGGTTTATGTCGGATGACTAAAATTCATATCGGATAGCAAACATCGGGGATATGTCGGGGGATATAAAAAAATATCGGATTGTCATATCGGATAGTGTGCATATGTATAATATAAATATCATAAATAAAATCTAAATAGACTTAAAAAATTCTATTGTCTAAACATATAAAAGAGTAAATAACTTATGATGTTTAGGGTTGATGTTGAAAGAAAGAGGTGAGAAATCCGATATTAACGGTTAAGAAGAGAGAAGATCGCCTGATATTAATGTCGAAGGAATAGCTCGGAGAAGAGACCGATGAGATGTTGAAAGAGAGAGAAGATGAGCGACAGATATTACTTCGGTCTTTTTTTTATTTCCCTTTACTTATTGGTTTTTGTCTTTGAAAGTAATATTGATACAATCAAAAATTTAAACTCAAACCTGATTAGACAAACATAACCAAAAAAAAAAAAAAAATCAGCTAATTTTTCAGACTGAAAAATCGGCTGACATAACCGACATATCACTCGATATATTCGCCCGACATATCCGACATATTCCTCGATATATCCGACATGAACCTTGAAGACGCAATACGCATTGAAAAGCTTCATATCGTGTCGGTTGACCCTTAAATCCGACATGGCAGACATGTCGATCGACATTTAAACACTGAGTTATAGTTTGACCATCATCAGTGTCTATTATCATGTTACCAAACAAAAAATTTAATAAATTTTGAAGGTCAACATCTTACGAACATGGATCAATAAGAACCCTCAAACCAAAAATAATAGGAATAAGCCTAAAATACTTATTAAATTTATTTTCTATTTAAAAAATTATATTTCCAAAATAATTATCCATACGATAATTATTAAAAAAAGTTTGAATATTTGAAACTTGTAAAGCAGCTTGAATAGTAGTGGATAATTAACAACCAGATGATAACATAGTAGCATCTTAAAAAACTTGTAACATCTCTTTTACACTATATATAACTAACCATTCAACCTTAGTTATTCCATACATATTACCAGAGCTAGAACTAGAAGTATAGAAAGCAATAAAATTATTTATAATTTCTTTATACTCTGTTGCTACATATAACATTACATAGGTAGAATTCCACCTATGGTCAATATCTTTTGAAATTAATCTGGGTTTAAATTTTCTTCTTTTACACAATTATTTTTATCTTTTAAGTCTTTGTTCGGAAGCATTATAAGCTTAAGTTATTGCCCAAACATTTTCTATCATGGATTTTAATTTCACCAAATGCACTTTGAATAATTAAATTTAAAATATGACACATATATCTAATATGAAAAATATCACTATGACATGGCAATAGCAAAGATGTTTTGATATGATCAATAGCTATATTATTATTACTTACATTATTTAGTGAAAAAAAATATTTTTTCTAAAACTTCTAAATTTATAAGTTCTTCTATTATTAAATTTGTAATATTAATACCACTATGTGAATCTTCAAATGCAATAAAAAAATAACTCTTTTAAACATTTGCTAATTATCATCAATTCAGCGTACTGTGATACATAAATTACCAGTTTGTGCTCTAGATGTCCAAATATCAGAAGTTAAAGAAAATTTACTTTTTAACTTTGAAAATAAGAAATTATTTTTGCTTGTTCCTCGTGATAATATTTTAAAATATCACGTTGATAAGATTGATGAGAATTTTTTCTTAAATACGTGATAAAAACCATCTCTAAACATATATTCAAATTCATCATCTTCTACTAATTTAAAAGGAAGATTTTTAAGAATAATAAACCTGATGGCGTATTTCCTGGCTCTAATTGCGTTATAATTCCAACTACTGAGACTACCGGAGGATGAAGATTGGGAGAGTAAAGATTGTCGGATATCACCTTGAGGCGTTGCTTGATCTCTGTTGTGCTTTTCTAAATGACGTTTGAGGTGGTTGGTGCCGCTTTTATGATGAGCTTGGAAAATATAGTCGCACAACCACACTTAGCCTTCTGGATGAGAAGCCCACCGTGTTGATCTCTAGTGACTTCTATATTCTCGAAGAAGTTTTACACATCGGATCTTGACATTTTAGAAGCTCTAGGTGCAGAATCATCGCTATCGGATTCGTGATCAACATCGGTAGGAGTAACTGTAGCTCCTGTAGTCAAGGTTTTAAATATCGGATATCGAGGAAATATCGGATGGTCAAAATTCATATCGGATTGCGGATATCGGGAAAATATCGGGGATATGTGATAAATATCGGAATGCCATAATGAATGTTTGTATACATAGTGTAATGCATTAAAATATAATTTTAACATATGTAATGAAATTTAAGCATACAAAATATGAATAATATATGTTTATGATCACTAATCAACCTTCTAAAACATACAAAAGTGCAAAGCAACGTTGCAACATTCGATTTACTTTTTTTAGGGCAAAATGTCATTGGTTATAATGGGAAAATCTTGATATCTCGCCCAAATATTCAAAACACGGTATATTATTTTGCAACAAGCTATATAAAAAGATATATTGGTCCACATATCGGCTAATATATCGGCCATATCGGAGATTTATCACCTGAAATAGCCAAAAAACGGTAAAGGATATTTAAAGACCATATCGGTTGCGGCAAGCCCTGTAAAAGGATATATTGGGGGATATATCGGGTCATGTCGGGGATATTTAAAACAATGTCTGTAGTAGGAGTATTAGGACTTGTTTCAACATCGGGAGTTGGGATTTGTCCTTCATAATCAAAGGAAGCCATTTGATTGAAGAATTAGAGAGCAAAAGCGAGAATAAGAAATTATTAGAGAGTATTAGAGAGAAGTAGGTGAGTTTTGGATGAGAAAAACTAATGAAAACTCTCTATTTATAGAGGCAACCTCCTAGCCAAATGATCAAAATACCCTCAAAATTTGATCGTTTTGGGGGTATTTTGGTCAAAAACACAAATATGGAAGTTATGGTCGTTTGGACTGGGTCGGTCCGGGCCGGGCCGGGCCGGGCCGGCCTGACCAGGCCCTCCCCGTTGAGTCCAAGCCCGGACCCGGCCACCCCAGACCGGCCTTTTTGCTGGCCAGGCCGGACCGGGTCCGGTGCAGGGGTCGACGAAGCGGCCCGGGCCCGGAGCCCGGTTTGGCTCGGATTTCCGGGCGCGTGGCTTGGGCCCAAATGAACATCCCTAGATAAAAATCTACAAAAACGATAGAACTTGCATTGCAGTCATATATTTGTTACAGTTTCATTTCTGCGAAAACTCTTGTAGTTTATAATCAACTATATATTTTATGAGATTTCTGAAATTATTCTATTTTTTGAAGTCTTCTCCAAATGATCTAACTTTCTGCTGTTCTCTTTTCCTTGGTGATCCCCTCATTTACCTTTTTCCCCTGCATCTTATTGCTCCCGGTTTTGTATTCTAGTGGGATACTGCTGGACAAGAACGTTTCAGAACTATCACCAGCAGCTACTACCGAGGTGCTCATGGGATTATTGTAAGTCCTCTTCGTAACCACCTCACTTCACTTTATGTTGCTTATATTCAAGCTAGAAGTAAGGGCATCCGAAGCAACTCTTCACAATGAACTTTGTACTTGTAGGTGGTTTATGATGTAACTGACCAGGAGAGCTTTAATAATGTCAAGACGTGGTTGAATGAGATTGATCGTTATGCAAGTGAAAATGTCAATAAGCTTTTGGTTGGAAACAAGTGTGACCTTACTGCAAAAAAAGTGGTATCCACTGAGACAGCCAAGGTAATTCATTTGTTTTCTTTTCTTTTCCTTTCCTTTTTCTATCTTTGCCTTCCTTTCTGCGGCCACAGAATTGCGTATTTGGTTTATAAGCATTCTTCAACATAACTCAAGCTTCTCCATGTTTTTTGTGGCTCTTCAAAGTTACTTGATTGGAAAATTCAACGTTTTGCAATGTCCATGATTTTCTTTTCGAGTACTAGTTCACACTTCTTGTTGTAGAACTTTTATGGATGGACTCAAATGCAAATCTCATATTGATTTTTTTTGCTTCTTCTTCCAATTAGGCATTTGCTGATGAAATTGGCATCCCTTTCATGGAGACTAGTGCCAAAAATGCTATGAATGTGGAGCAGGCCTTCATGGCTATGGCTGCAGACATCAAGAACAGGTAATGTTACATTTTGTTCTATTAATGAATGCTTATTACACGTTCACTTGTATGCACCAGTTTTGATCCCTTTGCCAGACTCGATTAGTTCCTGGAAAGCTAATTACACTTAGAACTGTATTTGGAGTTGAGATAATTTTCAGCTATTAATCTAGAACATTCACTTTTGACCCTTGTCGTTTCCATCGCAGTCTTCATTCTTTTGCGTGCATATTTCTCGTTAATTTCTTTTTCAAAGTGATTAACATGCATTTTCTACTTTCAGGATGGCAAGCCAGCCGGCAATGAACAATGCTAGACCTCCTACAGTGCAGATCAGGGGACAACCGGTTAACCAGAAAAGCTCTTGCTGCTCTACTTAGAGCTCTGGATAGATTGGCTATATGAATGCGAAAAAGCTACCTTGAGTTTCCCTTATGATTCTTAATTTGCTTTACTGTGTTAATCGGACAACTGATGATAATATAATACAATTCTTTCTAGCTATTTGTTTTAAAGCCTGTACAAATTTCGATTCAAATAGTTGTAATATTTGCAATATGTGTCGTGTTGGCACTTTTTAAGCGAGATTGCTGAGATCCTAATTAGCGTGAGATATGCAAGCATAATATTTTTCTAGAAGAGGAGCTATTGTTCAATTTGTGCATAGACTCATAGGTACCTTTTTTTTTAATGACATGAGTGTTTTCTTGTTGAAAATGTTATTTTTCAGCTAGTTTATTTTTTTTCCCAGCTATCGTAATTGTTCTTTGATAAGTACGCATATCTAACAGTTTTTGGGTGATAGCGGGACGAGTCACTTTTTGACATGTTCTCTTGTTATTCTTTCGAAAATATCGGTGAACTTGGCTTGATATCATCACTGTTTATTGCGGAACGTACGTTATGAATTCAAACCTCCTCCACCAATAGTTGGTTGGTGGATAATTGCTGCGATGCAGCCCGATTTTACTACAATTTTCGAATGTACAACACAAAAGAATTATTTTAACATAACTTATAAGAAGGTTAATCACCATTTTACGTAATGTTAGTTTGATATAACTTCTTTCTCCATTCTGAAGCACATTAATAATAACTTTCTAGAAGTTTCTTACTCCGTGACGCTGACGCATGGGTGCTGTAGCACAAATGCAAGGAAAGGTAAGCAACATGTGAAACAGTTGGACTTGGATCAAGGGTTCTTTTTGATATACTCTTAAATATTTAATCATTTGAACTTAGTTCCTTAAATTATTAAAATATCTGTTAGGTCTCCATCAAATCATGGATATTGCTATTAGGCCCCCAACTTATATAAGAATTGGGGGGCGCTGTTAGGTCTCAATCAAATCATGGATATTGCTACTAGGTCCCCCAACTTATTCAAGAATTGGGGGACCTAATAGCAATTTCAATGAATGGAGGTACTATATCAAAATTTGAAAGAATAAGCTACTAATATAGATAAAAGCCACATACTCACAAACTGTAACGAGATGTTTAAATCCTCTGTAACAAACTCAAAATCTCTCTCTCTCTCGGTCTCGATTTCATTCTCGATCTCGACGCTCCCAATTCTAGATCTCTTGATCTCTCGCCATGAATTCCGAATAGTAAGTTCTCAACTTCGAGATTCTTCTTGATTCTTTGTCCTTATCGCAGAATCTTCTTTTCTTTGAAATTTTTGATGCGAGAAATTTGACAATTTCTTGTGAAATTGCTGTGTTTGTATTGCGATCTCGTAGGATTTTATCGATTGTTATAATTTAGTTACTGATGATGAATAATTGTGATGGTGATCTCTTTGTTCTGGATCTGGTGTCATTTTCGAGATCCTAACCTAAGAATTTGGTTTTTATGTTGTTTGGATCATCGATCTGCTAATTTTTTATATACTCAATTTTATTTAGCTGTATGTTATCAAATTTCTTTCTAATTTTATTAGTGTATATTGCTTTCCTGTAATTGGTATGTCTATATGATCCACATCATAGGTTATGACTTATGAGCCCTAATTAGGCAATATTTAGGTAAATGTGCTTGTCTAATCCAATCCTTCTTTACTCTCAATAATGAAATTACTCTCGGAAGCCATCAAAGCCACTTGACTGGAATTTGTTATTGGACTTAATCTTAAATCATAGAGATTAAAACAAAAAGAGCGGACGCTATACCTGAATCCATTGCACGGATCTGAAATTTGGGTTTTTGAATCTTCTAATCTTGAGGGTTCTCTCTTGAGATTTCTTTTTAGATGTGGATAAGAGAATGAGAACTCAACCCTAAGATTATGGACCAGAACTCCTATATATAGACTTGCAGTTTTCTAATTTAGCCTCTTATTAAATTAAAATTGTAATATGGCATCTGTACAATTAGCCTATGACATATATAAATACCAATTGACCCAATTACCTGATTGATCACTTTATGTGGGTCAACTGTAAAAATAGCAACACACACTGATATAACATATGTGCCCACAAATAGATTTAATTAGATTTAAATAGATTTAAATCCAACAATCTCCCACTTGGGCACCATATGTTTCCTTAAAGTGTGTATAACCTTATGAGCCTCCCACTTGGGCACCATATGTTTCCTTAAAGTGTGTATAACCTTATGAGCTCAAAAATTGCTATCATAAATAAGGGTATTTTACCATATGTTTCCTTAAAGTGTGTATAACCTTATGAGCTCAAAAATTGCTATCATAAATAAGGGTATTTTCAAACAATATTGTCCATTGAGTATATCAATATAGGATCAAAGCGGCTTCCGTCATATTTATCGTAACTAAACCCATCAATGGTCATTGGTCACATATACCAATATAATCAAACGACATAAATCAATCATGAATGTGCATCATGAAAATTACATGCAATGTGATCAGTACATGCCTATTTTTAACTGGTCTTACCTTAAACTTTAGTGATGTCAATCTCAACATAATGTACCAGAGTGTATGAACTGAATACTTTATTCTGATCAGATAATACAACCTAACATAAAGCATCATAATCACAAACTCCCACTAAATCATGATATCCTCAAATAATATCACACCCATATGAGCAGTGTGCTCATAAAAGACCTTAGGTGGTAATCCTTTAGTAAGAGGATTAGCTATCATGGAGTTTGTCCCAATGTATTTTATAGATATCTGTCCACTTTGTACACTTTCTTTCACAACTAGAAACTTAATATCAATATGTTTTGACTTAGTTGAGCTTCTGTTGTTATTGGAATACATAACTACAGATTTATTATCATAATATAACATTAGTGGTCTTTCAATATTTTTCAGAATACGTAGTCCCGTGATAAAATTTCGCAGTCATATTTTCTGATTGGATGCTTCATAGCAAGCTACAAACTCTGCTGTCATAGTGGAGGAAGCTACAAGTTTCTGTTTGATATTTTTTCATGATATAGCTCCTGCTAACATATAAATATAACCTGATGTAGACTTTCTGTTATCTTGACATCTAGCAAAATTAGATTCAGAATACCCAATGACCTCTAACTGTTCTGATTTTCTGTATGTGAGCATAAATCTTTTGTTTTCTGAAGATACCTCATAAGCCTTTTAACTGCTATCTAATGATCCATACCAGGGTTACTTAAGTATCTGCCTAACATTCCCAACGATGTACGCAATATTCAGACGTGTACACACCTGAGCATATATTAGACTTCCTACAGTCGAAATCATAAGAAATCTTCTGCATTTCCTGAATTTCGAGGTTACCTTTAAGGTACTGATTGAGACTAAACTTGTCTTCTTTAGCAACATGGGTGTCTTCCGGTTTGCAGTCTTACTTGTCTTCTTTAAGGTACTAAAGATCTATTAACACCTAATCTTTTAATTTTGGTCTGTTTTTTCTTGATACATTTAACACAAACGTTAAAATCTGAAAAATCAAGGGAATTCAAAATGTTACCAAACACAAGATGCTTAACTTTATCTTTTGAGATATGACCCAAGCTCTTATATCATAATGTCACCGATTTTTTTTTATTTAATTTATGCTTAATACCACGTGATTCCACATGCAAAGAATCATTATAAGAAGTAATTGTATCAAGCAAATATAGGTTGTCATAAGTACTCAAGTAACCGGTTCCCACAACATATGAATTTAAAGATAAACTGAATTGGTTGTTTCCGAATGAACAATGATAACCTGATTTGTCCAATACAGAAACAAAAATCAAATTTCATCTAAAAAACGGTACTATAAAAGTATCTTTTAAATCCAAATATGAACCGGTCTAACGTGTCCAATTGCTTCCACGTTTATCGATTGTCCGTCGTCCACAAAGATATTGTCTTTCAACATCATTTGGCTTTCGATAGCTCAGGCAGCCTTACATACAAACATTTATGTGAGTAGTAGCACCAAAGTCTAACCACCAAGTGTTTCTAAGTACTGAAGCTAAATTAACCTCAGAACAAACCAAAGTAAGGAACGTACCATTCTTAGTACGTCAGGCGTAATATTTGGTACAGTCTTTCTTTACGTGTCCAGACTTATTGCATAAGAAACAACCCTAATCATCCTTATATTGTTTCTTCTGAACAGGATCCTTAACAACTTTATTATCATTCTTTCTTTTCTTACCCTTATCCTTAGAGGCATAAGCCAAATAAGAACTTTCTGTCTTATCTTGTTTCAACCTGTCTTCTTATTGTACACAGTATAAAATGAGCTCATTTAGAGTCTATTTTTTTTTGTAGTTATTATTGACCTTAAACTGATTGAATTGTGCAGGAAGAGACAACAGAACTAGATGCACCAATAATTCATCACAAAGATCGAGTTTAAGTACCTTAAGTTTTAAAGCAACATGAGACATTTTCATAATGTACTCCCTGATATTTCCTTTGCCCTTATACTTCATCGAAATCAAGCGAGCTAAAAGCATGCTTGTTCTACCTTATCATTTTTCGCAAAACGTTTCTCAAATTCGGTAAGGAAATCTTTGGCCTTAGTAATCCCTTCGGATTCTATGCCCCTGAAGGCTTCCAAAACGTCGCGTTTAATGATCATAAGACTCATACGATTTAAACGCTCCTATTTCTCATACTCCTTAATATCAGGAGTGATGTCCACATTAAGAGGTTGAGGTTGTTCAATTCTTAATGAAAGATCTAGATTCATATAGCCAAGAACAATTAAGATGTTCTCTTTCCAAACCTTGAAATTAGTCCCATTGAGCATGGAATTGAGTTGATGTTAGGGGCTGTTTGTTTTCCTAAAAAAAGAGGAAAATCAAAGAATAGGAAACCTATTTCTAAGAAAAATTGTTTTAAGATTGTTTGGTTGACTAAAAAAAGAAGGAAATCAAAGAATGAGTGATGAGTTGTCACATTATTATTAGATGATGTGGGTGATTTTTTAAGAAAATTTGTTTTGAGGTTGTTTGGTTAGCTAAAAAATAAGAAAATAATTATAAGAAACTTATTTCCTATAATAGGTTCTTTTCTTGTGTTTGGTTCATTCATAAAAATAAGAAAATAGATGAGATGAGATGAGTTATATAATAGGTTCTTTTCTTGTGTTTGGTTCATTCATAAAAATAAGAAAATAGATGAGATGAGATGAGTTATCATTATATTATTGGATGATGTGACCCACACTTAAGGAAATCAATTTTTTAGCTTTTTTTGGAGGAAATGGATGGAAATGAAATGTTAATGAGATGAGATGAGTTGTCACCATATTATTGGATGATGTGAGTGACTTTTAAAGATGAGATGTGATGGAGATGAGATGAGTTGGATGATGTGACCCATTTCTTATGTTTGGTTTATTTTTAGGAGATGATATGAGATGAGTTGTAGGATAAAAATAATAGTTTATTGGATGTTGTGGTGAGTTTTAGGGATGGAAATGGATGAAAATAATATTTTATTGATTTCCATATACCCTTTTTCTTTTCTTGATTTTTAGGAAACCAACCAAACAGCCTCTTAGCAGAAATTGTTACAGCAGATGCATTAGCTGAAATAAACAAAAGATGCTCACATTATTAACTGTAATTAGTAATCAATAAAATTCAAATAATGACAAATCTCATCTTAAGATATCTGGCACAACATTAATATCAAGTCTTTAAACAGTAATATTAATTTGTAAGTGATACCTTGTTACAATGGTCAAACACTGACAATAACTCATGTAAAATAATGAAACTATCTTTGGATCGATTCATTATTCACATGTAAACCTTATAATTATCACGTGTTTATCATCACAGATGTGTATGCAGTCTAAATAAATATTAACCTTTCTTTAGGCCGATTAAATATTTACACGAAAACATACACACAACCATCTAACATCCCTCATGAATAATTAACACAAGATGTTACTTTGACAACTTCTTATTTTAACCAATCATTTGGAATGAGAGACAACTTTAATACCTTAGTGTCATATAATTAATTAACTACCAAATTAATTTAAATTCATATTAAATGAATCTCTGAAATTTACTTGAGCAATTAAAATAGATTTCTCTACTTTAATTAAACATAAAAAAGGCCCATTAAAAATTTAATGGCCTACAACTTAATTGATTATTTGGTTAATTCAAATAATCC